TTAATTGACATTTAAATATATTGAGAAAGACCTCAAGGTTTCATTCCACCAAGACTATAGCCGGTGGTTCATTGATTAGCTCTCCTGTTGAAGCTACTCAGTGGAACGACCTGGTCATTTGGTACTGGAAGCTTATGTGTGATAAAATATATGTAATCATTAAAGCATAATTCGAAGACCCAAAATGCAGGCATGTTGGACTGATTGATATTTTAGACAGATATAGCCAGTCAAGGACACATGGTATGCCAGTTGATTGTTAAAACACACAAGATTAACAGCGAGAACAGTGCATCACACAGTCTGATGTGAAAATATTTCAAACTCAGAGGAAGCTTCTTTGGTATCGTTTCATGAGAAGGCTGTTCTTTGGAAGAGCGTTTTCCTCATGTCCTCAAGAATGGCTTTTCAATGTACATCGTAAAGTTTCACACTCCTGCCGCCTTTTGAATCCTCAAATGCTCAACTAAAGATAAAAACACTTGTACATCTGTGTCTTCCCGGCCAGTACTGTGACATCTGTAGCCAAAGCGACAGCGATCGCGCCCATCCCATCACCAACGCCATCGACGGGACGGAGCGCTGGTGGCAGAGCCCGCCTCTGTCCCGCAGCACAGAGTTCAACCAGGTGAACGTCACCCTGGACCTCGGACAGGTACGACTCAACACACGCAGATGGACTTTCTCTGACTGTCTGTGCATTTATGGTTGTCACCTTTTCTGGAGGGTCGAGGTTTTCAGATTATTGTGGAACGTCATTGTTGACCATGGTTTGTAGACGTCCTATAAATTTAGATATATATATTCCCGTTGACTTTTGTATTTCAAAATTGGATTCTTTGGACTTTCTGTTTTGGATGGCAATTTGAAAGGTGGTAAAGGGAGGATATCTAATGTGTGGACAGTTGAGGCTATAGCCTGTAAGCTAGCTAAACTAAAATTTTAATTTAAAAAAGTGGTTTGTGGTTGAGAAGTCCTGTCCTGTGAGATTGTCACAATTTTGAGCCACAAGGTCTGAAAATGTTGCCTTGTTAGGCTGAACTGTTTATTTTCTACCTTACAGTGATAAACTGTTGCCCTCACTGATAATAAATGTGAAGTCTATCTGAGTAACTGGTTAAGCAGCTAACATTAAGGATAATCAGCCTCCCGAAACTCAGTGACCCAAATAAAAAATCTAACCGTTAATGCTTCCACTTGAACATACTGTATTTAGAGATGTTGTTCTTGGCAGGAGACTTGGTTTGTCAGAATGACACACTCTCACATATAGGTGTATAACATATTAGGAAAGTTTTGCAAAACAGGGAGAGACTCCGGCCCTCATGCACTACAGCTTCAAAAGCTTCACTCAGTCCACCTTGTGCTCCAAGTTAACCTTTCTGTGTTTTTGAACGTCGCTCTTGAACAACCTTTATGTTTCTGAATGCGACTCTTTTGTGCCAGGCTCTCCTGCTCGAGTGCTCTCCTCATTCATCAGTGCAGAGACGTTCACTGTGTGTTTTCTGTCATGGCTTTCAGTTTCCCTTCCCGCTTCCATCTATCGTCCCTTTTCTACTCACTCTTTACTTTCTGCCCTTCCTCTCTTTCTCTGTGTTGAATGTCTCAATAGAGAATCAGGGAGCTGTGACTGTAACTGAGTGTGTGTGTGTGTTTAGCTTCTAAAAGCCTTTTATAAGCCTGTTTATCTCGTGACAATAATAAAAGAATGAACGAAAGGTTTCTGAACGCTATCAGAGCCCAGCAGTTTGCTCTCACAATCATTTTGGATGAGATCTTTTTCCAACGTGCCATTATAATACAGTATACTCAGTGATCGATGTAAACATTTGCTGTTATATTGGCTCATATTTGTTGTTGGCTGTCATTAATTGAAATTTTGTGTAATGATTGTGGGAAAAATTTGAACTAGCCAGACATGCATTTCTAATGTCAGTCTCACCTTCTAAAAACATCCTGCTTTGTGGTGATGCCGCAGTGGAGAAGACACATACCTTGGGTGTCAGAGACCTGGGTTTGAATCCACTGTGAGGCATCAATGTGTCAGTGAGCAAGACACTTAACCCCTAGTTGCTCCAGAGGCGTGCCTTAAATAAATGTTTGTACCTTAAATAATTTATTTTTAAAGAGCCAAAAATATATATATATTTTCAGCTTTGGCCTGTAAAAGAAGATAGATGTGTATACATTTGGAATGAATTGTCAATCAATTGGGAAAGGGTATTGTACAATCCAGCATTTTTGGAACTTGACCCATACTAGGAACTAAAAGTTGGGATATTTTGGCCTCTGCTGCTTCGACTTTCACCATTCTTTTTTAAAAATCTGTCTCTTGTGAGTGCCTCAACTTTATAAAAGTGCAAAACTAAAGTGTAGGAGAGCACCTTTTAAGCAAAAACACCAACTCGTCTTCTTGCATAAGTTTTCTTGTGAAGAATATTTTTATGTATATATGGTTTTGGTACACTTGACCTGCATATTCAGTGTGTGAATGAGTGCAAAATCTTCATTGTAGCACAGTGTAGTCTGATTTTAAAAGCAAACGACCAATGTTGCAGAAGGATGCTTTATGTGTTAATAATGTTTAAAATTGCATGGCATGATGAAAATTTGTGGTGGCACAAACGACGGCTTCAAGGAGGGCAACAGAGAGAGGGAGAGGAGGGGGAGGGTCTGTAGTTACCAGGATGCAGTTTTGTCTTGAAAGAATGTAGGTGGGCTAAGGCCAGGATTTACAAGTGTGTTTGTGTGTGTATGTGTGTGTGTCAGTAACAAGGCTCAGAGAGTGTGTTGAAGACCCCACCACACACACACACACACACACACACCTAACCCCCCTACCTCTGCCTGAATGAAAGAGGAGGGAGAGATTGGAATGTAAGTTAACCTGTCTCAACCCGCCGAGGGGAAGGCTTGTTAAATTACCCCAACTCCTCTCTCTCAATTCAATTCTCTCTCTCTCTCTCTCTCTCTCTCTCTGCTGGGTGCAGCTATACCAAAAAAGTCACGTACTGCTTTTATCTGTTTCTCAGCAGGAAAACACAATAGAAGCAGAGACAGATGAGAAGGTTGATCACATCTGTCTGTATGCTAAATATAAAGCAGCCAGTGATATACAGCCAGTTTACGCAGATAAACAACATGTTAATCAGTGAGCTTTAGCGGTGCTGACAGGTGGACAGAGCCAAGCTAGCTGTTTCTGATGTTTGTGCTAAGCTAAGTTAGTTAGCTTTTTATTTTGCTTACAGACGTCAGAATGATATTGTTGTTCTCATCAAACTCTCTGCAAGCAATCAAAATTTATATGCTGCTAAATATAGGGAGACAGTTTGGTGACATAAACATAATAACGTCTATATGTAAAAAGCTGGGCCCATAAATATGGATGCATGGATGCAGCTGCTTTCCTCTTAATAAGAGTTCAGATACCTCAACTTGGGGTATCTGCCGATACAGAGTACCAAGCTGATACCAGTGCTCTCTTTTTTCCCTTCTAAATTTAAGTCTGGGTCCTTAAATACACGGAAACACTTTTATAAAAGCTGAGGCCAGAGTCGGAGGCTCGCCATGATAGAATGAGTGTAACTGATAGTTTTATAGTCATTTTGCACAGAAACAATTTTATGTATTTTCGGTCAGTTAATATGAAACAGTATATTGATTTTAAGACTGCTGAGATGCCCTTTAGCAAGGCACTTACTTAACTTGTACGTTATCTGAGGTATTGTCGGGTGAATGCAAGTTCAGAAGGTGAAGCAACTTTTGAAAAAATGTACGTGCTCTGTGAACATTTCGAAGAGAGAAAAAAACAACAGATTAAATTATGTGGAATTCAGCTGGCAGTAAATACACTGTACAGTCACTCGGTATCAGTATATCTGTGGCAGTGTTACTGCAGTAGGTGTACCAAGCACAGACTGCACCCACCCAACACTCAGTTTATTAAACACATTTCACTGGAATCTGAAGGAGAGTTTCTCTGCAGTGTTTGTTTCTCTCAGTATTTCCAAACAATGTTATAACCTTTACACATATTTTTACATCTGGCTGTGTGTGTTGTGATACTCTCTATTCTCCTGTAATCTCCATTCTCCCTGTCCTCCAATTCGTTCTTCTTCTCTTTCCTTTTCTTTCTAACGTCTGTTTGCTGAGACTTTTAAATTAGCAGCATCACACCCCTCTTCCTTCCCTCTTCTTCTCCTCCTCCTCCTGTCTTTCTATATCTGTACCACCCATTCTGCCTATCTTTTAGAGATAACATGCAGCCCAATATAGACCATTTCAATCTCCACTACCTTCCTGTCTTCCTTCTTCTGCTATATCCTGCTCTTATTCCTCTTCACCGTTATCGTCTCCCTCCTTACCTCTGCTCCTTATTCTCCTTCCTCCTTTTCTCAAGGTATTTCTTCAAAAGTGAGAGCCCACCCTGCAATGTTTTTCCTTTTCATCCACTTTCTACTCTTTCTCCTCCACTGCCTAAGTCACTTCCATCTTAAACTTCTTCTGTTTCGTGTCCGTGTTTAATTCCAACTCAGAACATTCTTATGAGCGTGCTTCAGAAAAAAGTAAAAGTGTTTTAGGATAAGGATATTAAACTCACTGTTTCTGGAAAGACATGCTGTGACATGTGTTTTTCAAATGTCATTTTTCAACACAGCAAAAGCAAACATCCTCTCAGTCCCGTCGTAGTGGGGTGGCAGCAGAAATCTCAGAAAGGAAATTCTCTAAATTTAGGAAAAGCTTATTTCACTTGTCTCAGTTTGAAATGCACTAAAACATGTTGAAACCCCTCTCACCTCATTATTTTTCCATATATAGTTGATATATCTGTATCTATCTGTACGTGCCTGGCTCCTTTTCTGTCCCTGTTACATCTGCACACTGGGGAAGGCAGAGAAGGGGGAGGGAACAAGATGGAAGAGGAATGACAGCTACCTGATGAACTGTAGCAAGAATATGAATCATCCGATGAGGTCATACCAAGTCAACACAATTTACCGCTGTCTTATGGGTTGTGTATCCTAAGCACAGTGTAACGTTGTTGTGTGTTTTCACTCTGTACACAGATGTGTGTTTGTGTTCAGTTTCATTCCTCAGGTGTGTGATCGTGGAATGATTCTGTAATTACAGGTAAAGGGGAGGTGGGTATGGAGGAGATGAAGAGGAGGAGGGGTTGGAAATGGAACAAACATGGAGACCAATAATAGATGACATAAAGGGAGGGAGAAATCCAGTATGAAGGCAAGGTGAAACAAAACTCCCAGGAAGGGAGGAGGAGGAGAGGAAGGAGGTGAAGAAGAGGAAGGAGGGTAAGGGAAAGAGAAGGAGGAGGAGATGACAGGGGAAAAGGGGATGTTTGTCTTTTTTCTGCAGCCTGTTATTATCCCTCAGTTGGGAATGTGTGTGTTTAGGTGTGTGTGTGTGTATGTGTGTAAATGTTCTTCAGGTGAGGTCTTCTCTTTTCCATAGGCCTCCCTCCTAGGGTAAAAAAGGTGTCTCCTTGTCATTACACTTGTCAAAGTCTGCAGAGCTGCATTAGACCTGCAGTTTCTGTGATTTTCTATCTGTTTCTTTTAGGTTTTATTTCCAATTATAGATCTCTGCTGCCACCCAAGTCAAATGGAGGTGGACTTTTTTTTGGGCACTTAAAGCCTT